ATATCAAAATGGTTTTTGTAGCCGATTGGAAGAATCAATTGTGTTTTTGTGCGGTGCGCAGATTTGGTTTCAATTAAACGGCTCTTGTGTCTCATAAACATATATCATATATATTATCTTTTGTTTGTGGTACGTGTTTGCCGTTGGTCGGACCGTGTGATTAATGTGCACAATTTTGTTCTGAATGAAACAAAATCTCAAGACGTTCGTTCCATTTTTCAGCGATATTTATGACTTAAGTCGAATAATTCGACTACTCAATTGCTCTTTGAACTATTTGAAGTCAAAATTCGACGTTTTTTCATCGTTCCATCGGCCATAATTCAGTTAAAGATGTTGTGTGTGCGCCAGCGCGCTGAATTCAACGTTTTATGGATGCTTTTTGATTCCATAAAAGAATAAAACCGCAATTGTAATAAAATTTAATGCATAGATTGGATGGGAAAAGTGTTCACATGAGCTCTTCTTTTGGCTTATAGCCATCGTTTGTTTTGTGTGGATTAATTTCAAATGCATATTTGGTGTGAATCCCATTTATGATTTTTTCGCACCAATGTGAACACACACAAGCAATGTTCAATGAAAAATGCGTTGAATTAAAAGCAAGCCGCGCTCGCGTTCTATGCGCATCATATAATATGATGAGAAAAACGGCAAACGAAAGAAACACATTCGAAATACAAATATGAAAATTGTCGATTTATTTGAGCCAACAAATTACTGAGCTACGCTCAAAGAATATTCCGTGTTCTGTCACCATCAATTAAATCGCTTTTTTTCTCCTTTATTTTCAACTTAAAGCGCGCGCACTTCATTTCATTGCTTGCCCTTTTTTTCCCCATTCCACAGCAAAAAAAAAAGACATTCTAGACACACTAGATTGGTACTGCTGTGCTGTCTAAGTAAACAGTCATTGCTTTAATGGTGTGTGTGTGTATGTGTGTTAAATTGTTGACTGTCGAGGTGTCATCTTACACGGTCGTGTGAATAATTCCATTTAATTGAGATATCACACATTCGCTTCGCTTCACAATTTACTTTGCCCATTCGTTTTGTTACGCATCCACAAGTTGGTTTGATTTTTAAGACGACCGCAATGCGAACCGTTTCTTTTTTTTTCTTTTTCGTTGTCACTTGGAGTACCTCGGTGTTCACTTGAAAAATTCATTATTTAACTGTTTTTTCTAATAGGGTGATTAGTAATGCTTTTGTTCGTTGATGTTAAGCCTAGAAAATTGATCTAATTCTTCTGGTTTTCTCGCCATAGACACACTCATTTCAACAAGAAGATTAAATGGTGTAATCTCCGTTGTTGCTGTTGTTCCTTTTTTGTTATTCATTTCAAACTGAAACGCCCGGTTTCATATGCTGATTTAAATAAAAATCGCATTACAGCGAATCGAAGATTATTATTATTATTTTTAAATCAAATCACCATTTTCCGATATGCAAGAGAAATAATAAGGAAATGCCGATGTGTTTGTATTGAGTGCATTTATTTTATGCTCATTTTGATCAAAGTGAAACAACTTTGGGGCTTGGACTTTTAATTAAAATTTATCGCATCGTTGATGTTGATAAAATGTACCAAACGGCTTTGCAAAACCCAAATAAAATGCTTAATAAAATAATATTTCGTTAAATAAAAACATTTTGGTTGGAAGTTTGGCGAAAACAGCCAAGAAATGAGTCAATTAAATGGACGAAATTAAATCCAATCACCAGTGATTGATTTCTTAGTTTATGGCAATTTTTCGTTCTTTTTTTTATAAATATTTTTCACACAACGACCTTCATCTTGGGTGTTCAACAATTTCTGCGAGAGGAAGGAAAAAGGAACACAAAAAAATGTGCACAAATTTCGATATAGTCATATTGCCAAACTTGTATTCGAGCACCATTATTGTTGGTCATTTATTTTCAATTTAATACATCGAAGCTGGCCGTGCACAAAATAAATAAAACAAATTAAATTTAATTCAACTAGAAAATGATTGCACAAAAATTTATCATTTTTTATTCCCTCTCTGTCTGTCTGTCTCGCTCTTATAGCCCGTGGTAATTTTTGTGTAATTTTCTTTGCACTCGAAATATATACATGAATGATTTGACTCGATTTTCTCGTATGTTGCCTGCAAACAGTGAACGATAAGCATAACCACTCTTGTGTTACTTATCAATCAACACTGGCTGAGAAAATGTTTCAAAATTGAAACCAGATCGATCGTTGATTGTTGATAACGTAAAACGCCTCACGTATCTCTCGTACTGAATATGCCACATTAAAAACGGTTTCATCAATTTACACAAGCTTACACAACTTAATGATTTCATTTTGTGGAAAAAAGCATGTTATTTGTTTTACATGGCAGAGCCTGGCAAAGTCCAAGTATCCCAAATTGCTTTCAAGAACATATAGTAATTTAATTAAAATTTACGTCTTTGCCTGTAGCTGCATTTTCGATCAGTTTTGCGTGCAAAAACGGTAATTTGCGTAAATGACGTTGCACTCACAACGATAATTGTAATTTTAATGTTTATGTCTCAATTTTGTGGAAAAAAAATTATAACTTAAATGAATATGACCTTTTCGTAGACACACTCATCATTTCGAAAGTGTACGGAATACAGGCTCTGTGGGTCAACAAAAAAGTTAAAAACAAAACACGCGTTGAATTGGAGATGAAAGGCCATTTCTTCTTTCCATCGACCGGTCTTGGTACGTGCATTGAAGACACGTATGAAATAGAATCATAATCGGAAATGACACATTCACAGCGTGTGCTCAGTCGCATTTGATTTCTTGCATTTCATGCGTTTGCTAGCCGTTAATGGTTTTGAATAGGCACAGTAATCAAATACCACCTTGTGCGTGTTTGATCGGTACATTTTGACTGTAACCATTGAAATTGATTTATCGAAACATTTCTCCAGTGTAACTTGTCCAATTAAAACATCACTCGCTTGTATACCACCATTTCATTTGAGCCTGTCATAAAAAAAAAAACAACGTTAGACAATCAGTTTGAAATCCATACCATCCACATGGAATTCCGCAATTGAAATTCCATTCATTTTTTTCGGTATTCGTTGGATTTTATTCAAGCCAATGATGAAATATTAGATGAAGATGAAACGAAATTACTTTCGACTTCTTCGATTCATTCATAATCACAAACGATCCATGGCTAATGACGTTACATAAGACCCATATGCATCGATGCATCGAGAATGATGCAGAAAAGATGATGATAAGATCTGAATTTCTGCAAATAAATGATTTTTAAAATCTTGAATCCAAGGCATTCATTAGAATCAATTTGGTTTTTTTTACCATTCGAAATTGGTCATAATACGATCATGAATGTTTGCCTCATAAAAACACAATATATTACTATGGACGATGGTGTCGCAACGACACCCGTAAAATTACTATAACGAACAAATATCGAATTGAATAGCGGTAAGTGATTGTATCGATTGCCGTGCACGGCACAACAAGATGCGCACACCATTTGCATTCATTTGAAAAATATAAATGTATAAATTGGTAAATGTTTGCTGTTTGGAAGTGAACACGAAAACAAATGTCGATAAAATTAAGCAAAACTGTTTTTCACCTGTGCGTGTGAATATGATGTTTTTGATGATGGTTTAGTCCGTGCTCGGCTCTGGTGCATCCCATTCGAATAATACGGTTGCTGTGCGCTTTGTCAGCTTAAATGTCATTAAAACACTTTCATTACTTGCGTCGCAGTGGCGTTATTTATCCAATTTAATTGAATACATGGCATGGATATTAATATTTTCACTCTCTTTCTCTTCGCTCGTGTGTGCTTGCATATGATTTGCAATGCAATGCATATAATGATATTAATTTAGCATCAATATGCATAATTTAATCGCATAACATTTTCTATTTTACGATCCGTTCAAATGGTTGTGATGTTTTAATTGTTAACGCAAAGTGAAAATGGGTCCGGCATGTGGTAAATTGGATATCATTAAAACTGAAGAAAAAAAACTTGATCTCGTACACTCTTGTTGTTCAATCAGCCTATTTATTGACATGGACAGAAAACAAGGGACAAAATGAAAAATGCAAACGAATATTGAATACGATTATTTTTATGAGATCAGCAACTTGATTACAACGTTTTATGAGATCGCCTAGCCTATATTTTATTTCGAACCAATTCTACAACATTTCAGTTCATTACACTACATTTTTTATCATCTACATACTTTGCATATCTACTAATGCTGATTTTTATAATCATATCAGACGAAAAAACGCACATACTACTTCTAAACTTGAATCGTCGTAAATATCATTTGGTTGTTTCCGGATAAAGGATCTAAGACCACCTTCAATATTTCTCTAAAGTTTAAGTGCCGATGAAGTTTCTCAATAAATTAATGAAGCATTTTATACGTTACACTTAATTTCGCCAAGGAGTGTATTTGTAAGATTAGCTCTGTGCAGAACATATTTGATATAGATTTTTAGTAGCTTCAAAAGATTTAAATTGATCTTTGTGTAGATTATAAAAAGCTATTTAAAAATCATTTATTTCGAAATATGGTTTTGTCATAATATGACCGAATGTATGGTAAATTTAAAAATGACCCAGCTGCAGAAATGGTGCAACGACCAGTTATAGATAAAACCTCTCAATAATATGTGCTATTCACAAACAAAAGATTCTTTACTTGGCTCGTATTGTGTGGTTTTACTGTATTGTGAGTTGTTTTCAACTGCGTAAAAGTTTTAATATATTGTAAATATTTGTTCCAACCTATTTTAAAATTCAGTCAATAATATCCAGAGCTACGTATTTATATTGCCGAACAAAAAAGACATTTTTATTATTTTATTGTTTATTGTTTTCAGCTTTAAATTAAGTCGCCAAATGAAAACGTTAATTTCAGTTCATGCAAAACACTTGCAAGTGAAGTGCACAGTTTTAATTCTATAACATTGTCAATGTGAATCTGCAATGAGTTTAAAAGATACTGTAGTAAAAATTTGTGCATTGCTTTTTCTACCGATGCTTTTAACTGAAAATCCAGTTCCACCTATACCACCAATTGGACAAGTGTCGATAGAAAAACCACCAGATACAATGCCACCGCATTTAGAAATAAATCCAAAATGGCCCATTTTTGTGCCTCCAATCATAGTACCACCGATTATAAAACCTCGTGAGTGCGTTTGCACAATGCAATACGATCCGTGGTGTGGATCCGATGGTAAGACCTATGGCAACCTGTGTTTATATCTATGCGAAGCAGCCAAGAAAGTACCATTGCTGTTAGTACACAAAGGCGAATGCTAATAAAACATAATGCAAATCATCATCTGGAAAAATGTATGGCATGGATGTGAGTTGAGATGCCAATGGAAACAAAAACAAAAAAAATCAAATGTGTTTGAAGTGAAATTTTATTAAATCAAAGCATACAAATAGATCTTAAGTCCTTTTTCATATGACGGCCTAAGAAGAAAACAATAACATACAGAATATTCTGCAAAAAGACGAATACAAATTTATGTGATCAAAAACCAAATATACAAACAGACAGCGCAAA